TAAAAATTCTTACGATTTATAAGCCTTTTATTCATAAAAATATGCTAACAAGGGAATATATAAAGGCTAAAGGATTGAAATTTGTTTGTTTTGTTAAAAAATTGTTTTTGAAATTTAATTTTTATCTACAAAGGAACTTTTTCAATTACCTTAAAAGAGAGAAGCTTCCGAAAATTCCACAAAAAAATCTAATTGTCATAATATTAAACATAAACAGCGGCAACGTTGCGGCGAGCGATCTGCCTCTGACGCCATCAAGCTATAATCGGCTAGAACCGACCAGCCGGACCAGCGCGTTAGTGTTCGAGAACGATCAGGATTTCTTTGAACGGGATAAATACGCACGGCGCGGCGACATTGCGCTTAGTTTAAAACTGAACGCGTAACCAACGTCCAGCGGTTGAGTTAGTAGAGAACAATAAAAAATAATATTATGGCAAGCAGTTGTAAGAAGGTAAAGACATATCACTTTCATTCAGAATGGGAAGAACAATACTTTTTACAGAAGTTAAGGATAAAAATGTGTGTTTGTTATGTAATATTTCGGTCTCCGTTACTAAAAAAGGAAATATTGAGAGACATCATAAAACTGTACATTCTAATTTTGAAAAATCATTCCCACTACATTCTGTCGCCAGAAAGGAGAAACTGAAACAGTCAAAAAAGTAGTTAATTGGACAACAATCAATATGTTTAAGAACAGTCGACAAAAATAGGGCTGCAACTGAAGCATTGCACCGTGTGTCCCAGATAATTGCACAAAAAAGAAACCTTATGAAGACGGGGAAATGATAAAACAGGCGTTTTTAGAAGCTGTTGATTCGTTATTTGCCAACTTTAGAAATAAAGACGAGATAGATTCAGCTATAAAATCTATGCAACTTTCTGCTAATACAGTGATGAGACGTTAGAAGTAATGAGCAATGACATTTTTTTACAGTTAAGAACTGACTTAGATAACTGTGTTTATTTTTCACTTCAACTGGATGAATCAACAAATGTCGTTGACACTGTCCAGATGGCTGTGTTCGTCAGGATAGTTTTTAGTGATTTTACGATTAAAGAAGATCTTTTGAAGTTTATTCCACTGAAAGGACACACTACTGGACAGGAGTTGTTTTCTCATTTAAAAAATATTATTTCTTCCGAGAAATTTCCAATATCGAAAATGGTAGGCTTGACAACCGATGGCGCTCCAGCTATGGTGGGTTGTGATAAGGGTCTGGTGGCGTTATGTCGTAAAGATGAAACTTTTCCGCAATTTCTCTGTTACCACTGCATTATCCATCAGCAAGCATTATGTGGAACTTTCCTGAAACTAAACAACGTTATGAAACTGGTGGTAAAAATTGTGAACAAGATTAGAGCTCAAGCGTTACAAAGAAGATTAATCAAAACCTTGAGCGATGAAGTTGACTGTCAATACGGGGACCTACTCCTTCACTCTGAAGTCCGATGGTTAAGTAGAGGACGGGTGCTGAAACGTTTTAATGATGTCCTATCTGGCATAGTTCAATTTTTCAAACAACGCGATGAACCGACTCCGAAACTAGAAAATTCAATCTGGCTTAGAGATTTTGGTTTTCTCGTGGACATTACAGAGAAATTAAACGAACTTAATTTGCAGCTTTAGGGGAGAGACAAAGAACTAGCGGAAATGATTTGCTAAATCACCAATTAATGTTCGCTATTTTAAGTTACATAGGTTTCAGTAATTCTGCAATAGAGCTTCTTAAAAATTATTTTAATAATAGGACTCAACGAGTAAGTTTCCTTAATGACATTTCAAATGTGGGTATAATAAAAAGAGGCGTTCCTCAAGGTACAATTTTAGGACCTTTGCTGTATACAATTTACACCAGTAATATTCCGAATGTATTAATGCATATGAAAATACATATGTATGCAGATGACACTCAGTTGTATTACTTCTTTAATAAAGAATATATTACCAATGCACAAAATTTAATAAACACTGAGCTAAAGGCATTATTAGAAGCATCTAAAAAACATGACTTGGTAATTAATAATTCTAAATCAACTATTATGTTATTCGGAAATAATATATTACCTAATGAGTTAATAATCAAAATTGAAAACGACCCTTTAAACACTACTGAGCAGGCTAGAAATTTAGGTGTCATAATCGATAACAAATTAAGATTTACCGATCACACATCATTTATATTAAAGAAGGCTTATGGAAAATTAAAAGTTTTATATCCCAATAGATATATTTTAAGTAGGAAACTCAAAATACTACTTTGTGAATCGCTTGTCCTCTCACAAACTAACCACTGTGACTACGTATATGGTCCCTGCAGACTACAGAGGCTTCAAAATTCTTGTTTACGATTAATCTTCAGTATAAGAAAATTTGATCTAATTAGTCATACATTAGTAACTGCTCGCTGGCTGAATATGACTCGCAGAAGGTTATTACATTCGTTGACATTGCTCCACAAAGTTATCGTAAACACAACTCCCCCTTACCTAACCAATAAAATAAAGTATAGATCAGATGTGCATAATATTAATATCAGAAGAAAAAAAATTATTTCTATTCCAGTCCATAGAACTACCTTTTTCGAAAAATCTTTTAGATATAATATTTTCAAAGCATACAATCTTCTACCAGACAATTTTAAATTAATGAAAATATCTCAATTCAAACAAAAACTTTTTGAAAAATTATTTAGCGAACAGTGTTGAAACTAATTATTTCACCTATTTATTTATTTATTTATTTATTTATGCAAATGTGTTATAAATGTGTTATAAATTTATTATGACTTTTCTTCTAAATCGCTATTTCTTACATTTTACTATTAATATTATTTTTTTTTTTTTTATTTATTTATATATGTATACATATGTGTGTGTATGTATATATATTTTGGGTTCTTAAGGAAGAGCAGCCTAGCTGATTTTGCGCCCTTTTACCAACGTTTGCCTTTTTCTTATTTTTTATGTATATAGGTACTATAGTGAATATTCTATTTTAATTTACTTGTATTTTGTTGGTTAATAAAGACATTTATTATTATTATTATTATTATTATTATTATTATTATTATTATTATTATTATTATTATTATTATTATTTCTGATATGAAAGCATTTATCAAAAAGCTGGAGTTTTGAGAACAAAACCTAATTAACAGCGATGCCAAGCATTTTCCTATTCTTTCAGAAATAATATCTCAAAATCCATTAGAACCCTATGACAGCAAATATCATGTAGAAATAGTTTCTACCCTGAAGAATAACTTCAAAAATCGTTTTAAGGATTTCAACGAAATGGCTTTAGTAGCGCAGTTTGTTGTTTCACCCTTTATGGAAATTGATATCCAACAGTTTGCCACTTGTGTTATGCAGAACTTTGGCGAAGACATCGCTGCAACAGAAATGGAAGTAATTGAGTTTCAAAATGATTTAGCCTTAAAATCGTTAGTCTCAAGTACCAAATTTATCTGGCCTATTGTAACTAAAGACAAATATTCAGTTCTATGCCGTGTTGCCTTGCAAGTGAAAGCATTAATAAGTTCAACTTATTTGTGTGAATCTTCTTTTTCCAATATGAAGTTTATTAAGAACAAATATCGCAATCGACTTACAGATGAACATTTGGATAATTGTATTCGAATGGCTGTATCAAATTATACTGCAAACATTAAAAAAATTATCGATGAGTCTGAGTATCAGCCTTCTCATTGAACGTGCTTTTTTATTTTTCAATGTTTTTGTTCATGATAGTGCGTTACTTTTTTGTTGTTATTATTAACTATTTTTAAATCTTACGTGACATGCCGTTGTGGCTGGATAAAAGTTTGCGTTTATTTTTCAAACGCCTTCGTTTGGTAGGTAGGAACAAGTACGTACTAGTAATATTAGTTATTTTGTTATTAGTTTATTATTAGTACCTATGTATTACCAGTTAAATAGTAAAATAAATACATATAATGATAAATTAACTGTGGATCATTTCATTTACGTTGCGTTACGTGGCTTCCGTGTGGGTAGCTCGCTATTTATTCCAAAATTAACAAAGTAGCTCAACACATTGAGAGGTTGGCGACCACTGACCTACACGACCAAGTAATACTGCCTGTAGTCAATTTTTTCCTTTTACACCATTGGAATATTTATGAGTGCTACTACTGATTTTGCAAAGCAATACTGTCTGTAATAGCTACCTCAATTTTTACCTTATTTTTCTTTAATAAAAATTCATCTTTCCCTGATTGTGACATTTATATGGTACAAGAGTGCAAATAATTTTATTTTAATCAAAAATTTATCAAGTACTTAAAGCTGAAGCAGTAAATCTTCCTAGTTTAAGTTGAAAATCTTTAGTCTTTAAGAGATACAGTCAAAATTTCAATTGTTTTCAATTTTTTTCGTTTGTAAATTCAACAACCTCTTCCTATTTTGGGAGCATCACTAAATATGTGACTCAAGTCCGTTTATTTTATATATTCCTATTTTCTACCTTACCTTAATCTTATATATGAATGGTATGGCGGCAAATTGTCTATTTGGAGTCGGCTTTTGGTACCTTCTTTCTTTAAATTATTTTCTATGTTATTTATTTGAATTTCATTAGTATTAAAATTATTTAAGCAACATTTGGAAGAACCTTTTTAGGTATAATATTATTATTCCCTTTAAAACGAATAACTATTTCGTCAACTTAACATACTAATGAATTTTTAATATGCCATATTTTTGGTACAATTATTTCAGTTTCTAAATTAAAGTATACCCAAATTATTGTTCAATAAACATACGAAAATGACCCTGATTCACATGACAATATAAAAAGTGAAAAATTTGTAATAATATAACTATACTTAGTATCAATTGTATCTATTTATTTAAACAGGAAATAAATTATTTGAAAATTAAACCATTATCATTTTATTAAACTATTTATTTTTATTGTTAAATATTTTGTATATATATTGTATGTTATAAATAAAATATGATCAGTGATAAATACATAGTTAAAATGTCTATATTTGTAACTTTTTTTGCGTTTGCTCTTTTTGTGGTTGCTGTAAGTATTTCTAACTTTTAATAATTTATATTTGTATATCCATTACTTCTATAAAAAAATATTTATGATAGAAAAACTCCGTTTGGATATTGAAAATTAAAATTATAAATATGTTAAATTATTAACAAAAGACACTTTAAAAAAGGCTTTGTGCGTCCAGAAAATTGCAATGCAAAGCTTTTGTTAAAACGAAATTGGACCGTCTTGAAGTGATAGAATCTTCTAAATCAGTGGTCGCCAACCTGTCAATTCTGGTAGCTCTCACAACGATTTTAATTTCAAAAATACAAACTGCAAAAATCAGAGAAGCTTCTGAAAATTCCACAAAAAGATCTAATTGTCATAATATTAAACATAAACAGCGGCAACGTTGCGGTGAGCGATCTGCCGCTGACGCCATCAAGCTAGAATCGGCTAGAATCGACCAGCCGGACCAGCGCGTTAGTGTTCGAGAACGATCAGGATTGCTTTGAACGGGATAAATAGGCACGGCGCGGCGACATTGCGTTTAGTTTAAAACTGAACGCGTAACCAACGTCCAGCGGTTGGGTTAGTAGAGAACAACGAAAAATAATATTATAGCAAGCAGTTGTAAGAAGGTAAAAACATACCACTTTCATTCGGAATGGGAAGAACAATACTTTTTTACAGAAGTTAAAGATAAAAATCTGATGTATCCAACACATGACTTTCCTATCTAGTTATTACAGGCTTTTTCCGTTTATTGTGTACAACCTATTGCACCATCTCTATAAATGTTTAGAGGATAAACTAAATATATATATATATATATATAAAAAAGGAGATACTTTTTTCGACCGGAAAATATTTATTTTTAAGTGAAGATAATATCAGGTTAGCGGTCCTAAGAAATAAAACTCTTTTCCTTACTTGCTAGTAAGGAAAAGAGTTTTATTTCTTAGGACCGCTAACCTGATATTATCTTCACTTAAAAATATATATATATATATATATATATATATATATATATATATATACATTATCCACATACATCTACCGCGAAACATTTTTCTATAGATATTCATTGAAAATGAAAATACTGAAAAATTTAAATTTAGCACTTTTCCTACAATTTTTCCATTACGGTCCATTTAAAAATAATCATGTATGAACAAATATTATAGAGATCAATATCGCAAACAATTTTTATTTCAACAATTTTCATAAAAATCAGAATTTTACACATTTTGTCAAATTTCTCGAATACGGACCATTTCAGGAAAATTTTACATAAGGCAAAAATTATAGATAATAATATTAGAAGTAACTTTTATTTGAACAATTTTCTTCTCCAAACATAAATAACAGATATATTCCATAAAATATATAAACGGCCTCCCATAAAGTACCCCCCCAGATGTTCCGACTTTGTCCAAAATCTAATCATTTTACGTCAGGCCGAAATAAAACTTAAGTTTAAAATTTATTGATTTTTTCTTTATCCGTTTTTGAGTTTTCTTCAAATTTCGAAATTTACACATTTTCTCAAATATCTCGAATACGGTCCATTTTAGAGAAATTATCTATGGGACAAAAATTATAGAGAATTATATTACAAAGAACTTTTGTTTGAACAATTTTTATAAAAAAAAATATTTTTTTACATTTTGTCAAATTTCTCGAATACGGACCATTTTAGGAAAATTTTGTAAATAACAAAAATTATAGATAATAAAATAAGAAGTAACTTTTATTTAAAAAATTTTTTTCCCCAAACGTAAATAACAGATATATTCCATAAAATATAAAAATGACCACCTATAAAGTACCCCCCAGATGTTCCGACTCTGCCCAAAATCTAATCAGCTCATTGGACGCTGAAACAAAGCTTAAGTTTAAAATTTGGTGTTTTTTTTTGTGTATCGGTTCATGAGTTATGCGTTATACACACACACACACACACACACACACACACACACACACACACACACACACACACACACACACACACACACACACACACACACACACACACACACACACACACACACACACACACACACACACACACACACACACACACACACACACACACACACACACACACACACACACACACACACACACACACACACACACACACACACACACACACACACACACACACACACACACACACACACACACACACACACACACACACACACACACACACACACACACACACACACACACACACACACACACACACACACACACACACACACACACACACACACACACACACACACACACACACACACACACACACACACACACACACACACACACACACACACACACACACACACACACACACACACACACACACACACACACACACACACACACACACACACACACACACACACACACACACACACACACACACACACACACACACACACACACACACACACACACACACACACACACACACACACACACACACACACACACACACACACACACACACACACACACACACACACACACACACACACACACACACACACACACACACACACACACACACACACACACACACACACACACACACACACACACACACACACACACACACACACACACACACACACACACACACACACACACACACACACACACACACACACACACACACACACACACACACACACACACACACACACACACACACACACACACACACACACACACACACACACACACACACACACACACACACACACACACACACACACACACACACACACACACACACACACACACACACACACACACACACACACACACACACACACACACACACACACACACACACACACACACACACACACACACACACACACACACACACACACACACACACACACACACACACACACACACACACACACACACACACACACACACACACACACACACACACACACACACACACACACACACACACACACACACACACACACACACACACACACACACACACACACACACACACACACACACACACACACACACACACACACACACACACACACACACACACACACACACACACACACACACACACACACACACACACACACACACACACACACACACACACACACACACACACACACACACACACACACACACACACACACACACACACACACACACACACACACACACACACACACACACACACACACACACACACACACACACACACACACACACACACACACACACACACACACACACACACACACACACACAGACATCATCGCGAAAATAGTCAAAACGGATTCAGGGGACCTCAAAACGTAAAAATCCGTCGAAAACTCGAGGTCGAAAAAAATCATGATTCCTATACTTTCCTTATATCTGTATACAGATAGGAAAGTAAAAAGAAACCTTATGAAGACGGGGAAATGATAAAACAGGCGTTTTTAGAAGCTGCTAATTCGTTATTTGCCAACTTTAGAAATAAAGACGAGATAGTTTCAGCTATAAAATCTATGCAACTTTCTGCTAATACAGTGATGAGACGTGTAGAAGTAATGAGCAATCATATTTTTTTACAGTTAAGAACTGACTTAGATAACTGTGTTTATTTTTCACTTCAACTGAATAAATCAACAGATGTCGTTGACACTGCCCAGATGGCTGTGTTCGTCAGGATGGTTTTTAGTGATTTTACGATTAAAGAAGATCTTTTGAAGTTTATTCCACTGAAAGGACACACTACTGGACAGAAGTTGTTTTCTCATTTAAAAAATATTATTTTTTCCGAGAAAATTCCAACATCGAAAATGGTAGGCTTGACAACCAATGGCGCTCCAGCTATGGTAGGTTGTGATAAGGGTCTGTTGGCGTTATGTCGTAAAGATGAAACTTTTCTGCAATTTATCTGTTACCACTGCATTATCCATCAGCAAGCATTATGTGGAAATTTCCTGAAACTAAATAACGTTATGCAACTGGTGGTAAAAATTGTGAACAAGATTAGAGCTCAAGCGTTACAAAGATTAATCAAAACCTTGGGCGATGAAGTTGACTGTCAATACGGGGACCTACTCCTTCACTCTGAAGTCCGATGGTTAAGTAGAGGACGGGTGCTGAAACGTTTTAATGATGTCCTATCTGGCATAGTTCAATTTTTCAAACAACGCGATGAACCGACTCCGGAACTAGAAAATTCAATCTGGCTTAGAGATTTTGGTTTTCTCGTGGACATTATAGATAAATTAAACGAACTTAATTTGCAGCTTCAGGGGAGAGACAAAGAACTAGCGGAAATGATTTCTGATATAAAAGCATTTATCAAAAAGCTGGGAGTTTTGGGAACAAAACCTATTTAACAGCGATGCCAAGCATTTTCCCATTCTTTCAGAAAAAATATCTCAAAATCCATTAGAACCCTATGACAGCAAATATCATGTAGAAATAGTTTCTACCCTGAAGAATAACTTCAAAAATCCTTTTAAGGATTTCAATGAAATGGCTTTAGTAGCGCAGTTTGTTGTTTCACCCTTTATGGAAATTGATATCCAACAGTTTGCAATTTGTGTTATGCGAAATTTTGGCGAAGACATCGCTGCAACAGAAATGGAAGTAATTGAGTTTCAAAATGATTTAGCCTTAAAATCGTTAGTCTCAAGTACCAAATGTATCTGGCCTATTGTAAGTAAAGACAAATATTCAGTTCTATGCCGTGTTGCCTTGAAAGTGAAAGCATTATTCAGTTTAACCTATTTGTGTGAATCTTCTTTTTCCAATATGAAGTTTATAAAGAACAAATATCTAAATCGACTTACAGATGAACATTTGGATAATTGTATTCGAATTACTGTATCAAATTATATTGCACAAAATTATCGATGAGTCTGAGTGTCAGCCTTCTCATTGAACGTGCTTTTTTATTTTTCAATGTTTATGTTCATGATAGTGCGTTACTTTTTTGTTGTTATTATTAACTATTTTTAAATCTTACGTGACATGCCATTGTGGCTGGATAAAAGTTTGTGTTTATTTTTCAAACACCTTTGTTTGGTAGGTAGGAATGTAGCTATGAACAAATACCTACTAGTAATATTAGTTATTTTGTTATTACTTTATTATTAGTACCTATGTATTATGTATTACCAGTTAAATAGTAAAATAAATACATATAATGATAAATTAACTGTGGATTATTTCATTTACGTTGCGTTACGTGGCTTCCGTGTGGGTAGCTCGCTGTTTATTCCAAAATTAACAAAGTAACTCAACACATTGAGAGGTTGGCGACCACTAACTTAGAGGATCAAAGAAATAGTTATTTGATTTTAAAATTAATAATGTTCATAGATTAAGATTGTAAATCTTATTAAAATATTAGGAAATAAAAATAATTTAATGTTGACTACCTGCATTCTAAGAAAAGTGAGTTTCATTCTCATTAGAGAAAAGAATTATGAACATCACAGTAACAAAATTAACATTAACTAAATTATGCATTCTAAATTAAAAAACATGTTTTTACCGGCACTCCTCGCTAGGTGTGGGAATAGGGAAAAATTTGACAGCCGGCCGCCATGTTGCTGAATCCACCTTGTCAAAATCTGCATTCGTGTTGAAAATATTGAACTTTTTTATATATTTTTCAGATTCCTTTAGCAACAGCTGACGTAGTAGACAAGCCAGCAGAAACAGAAGAATGTCTTAAAATATCTGGCGCTTCGGAAGCCAACGTCTTTGCTCGTCCTCGCAAAATGGATCCAGAAATTCAATGTTTCTGGAAATGCGTTCTAGAGAAAAAAGGCGTCATCAGTCCTGATGGAGTTTTCAACATAGACTTATTCGATAAAGGTTTTCCAAAAGCTGCCGCTAGTCTCGGTGAAGATAAGATAGCCATGGTGAAAAAATGTTTTGGAACAGTTGGAAAAATTAAAACTTGTGATGATATGAGTCAAATTCGGCAGTGTTTTACGTCTGTTGTTAAAGCTTAAACAACTATTGTGTAGATTAAAAATTTTAGAATGTTGGTAAAATAATAAAAGACTTATTTGAATTTTGGAATGTTAGTTTAATTTCAAATTTTTTCAGTCGAAAATTATGAATTTTATGCAGGAGTAAAGTACCTTTATTTTTAATAATATCGAAAATTATTAATAAAAAAATTTGATTTATAAGATAAATATATTAACAAAACTGTTTGCATCTCATCCCTTTGGTAATTACAGCAAATTCTTTACCTTTATGATAACCCAACCAATGACAATATTGCCCATTTTTAGCTCTAAATAAATTTTAACCAATTCCCTTTTTAATACTCAAAATATTTCAAACCAAATAAAAAGAAATTACATCATAATCTTATTACAACATACTTGGTAACAGTATTATGGTTACTTTGTTGACGTCACATCTATTGGTAACGTTAAATTCCTAACGTCATAGGATGTCAAATTTAATTTAAGCCGGAAATTTCTAAACCAAATTTTGGGATTTTTTTGATTTTGTTATTTATTTAAAATTATATTTCTTCCAACAAAAAAAAAAAAAAAAGGTTTTATTTTGCGTCATATTTGTGTTGAAATATATTTCCATCTTTATCCTTTAATATCTCTAGTTATTTCAGTATCTTTCATTCATAACAAAATAGTTCAAATAAATACATAATTTGAATACATTGTTGTATTTTTTTCATAGGAAAATGCACCTACGGTTAGGTTAGATAGATCTAAATATCTAGATATTTAGATCTATCTAACCTAACCGTAGGTGCATTTTCCTATAACGTCTAAAAGCAATGATGATGGCTTGGGAATCTCTGGTCTAAAGCTATTGTCCTTCCTCTTCTAAAAAATCAGTAACCTCGTTTAGAACCTGAATCTTACAGACCCATAAGTTTAATGTGCTCCATGAGTACTAGAAAAAATAATCAACCATAGCCTCATGTGATCTTCGGAAAATTCTAGCCACTTAATCTCCGAGCAAAACGGTTTTAAACAAAACGATCAATATTTTGGATCTGGAAAGCGAAATTCACGAATCTCTAGCAACAAAACAAACTTGTATAACAATATTTTTCGACATAAAAAGAGCCTTTAACACCTGCTGGAGATTTAACATTAGTGACAACTGTCTTGCTTTTATCAAAAATTTTCTAAAGGATAGATCATTTCGTGTAAGAGTAAATAATTTACGTTTAAGAGAATATACTGTGCACGGTGGGTATCTTCAATTCAAATTAGGTATTTTTTTCATAGGAAAATGCACCTACGGTTAGGTTAGATAGATCTAAATATCTATCTAACCTAACCTTAGGTGTATTTCCCTATGAAAAAAATACTTTCCTATCGGTATACAGATATAAGGAAAGTATAGGAATCATGATTTTTTTTCGACCTCCAGTTTTCGATGGATCTTTACATTTTGAGGTCCCCTGACTATTTTCGCGATGATGTCTGTGTGTCTGTGTGTGTATCTGTATCCACCATAACTCAGGAAAGTCATGTGTTGGACACATCAGATTTTACAGACGTTGATTCTGTGAGTCACATTTCCTACATATCTACCACTTTACTTCGATTCCGCTATACTAATAGTAAAGCAAAAATTAAATATTTGAGTCAGATCGAGTAGAAATTATTTAAAGGTAATTACTAAATAAGAAAACAGACGTAAGCTAAGTAGAAAATTCGTAATCCATAATCTAAATATTATTGTATACTCACACCTTTTTTTGTGGTTTTCAAAAGGAAACGACGAACTCATTTGATTTTAGAAGATTCAGTAACGAACGAGAATTTAACGAATATGTATCTTAAATTATATTTTTTTCTTTTAGTGTGCACATCCCTTTGGATATTTGTAAGTATACGTTTTTTAAATATAATTATTTATACTATTACACCATTATGTTGTTTAGGTTAATTATTTTAAAAATACTTTGCAATGAATCTGTTTTTAAATACAGTAAACTTGTATTTGATACGGAAGTAGGGAATTATTATCTAACAAAGACAAATTTATTATTTTAAAATTTACATATATAAATAATTGTATCTATAGGTAAACTATTCTCGGCATTATGGGGTATTTAAATAAATATTTTTAATTGTTTGACATGCTTGATATGCATATATTCTTTTGAATAATCTAGAAGTTAATTCCAACATTCCGAGCAAATTAGCTATAAATTAAAGCAACTTACGGCCGTTTGCAGCGACATATTTAAGGATTACTTAAAGTTAAGTAGAATTTAAGTGACATACTTTTATTGTATCGTCAGTTAAGGAGCCCTTTTGAAACACTTAAAATATTCCTAAACAAAACTGTCAAATTTCGAGACTTAAACATTCCTTACCTGCTTTCACAGTGGCATTTTTTATAATTATAACAAAACTATGGAACTTATTTTTTATATTTTATATGTACTATGTATATTGAACATTATAATCACTAATTAAATAATACAGCTGAAGAATACACAAATATACATGTCTATAAAACTAGCAAATTACACAACATTTTTTTGGCTAATTTTTTGCTATTTTTTTACCAAATTTTTAATTTTTTGCTCCTGTCGTTACTGAGAAACATTGGGCATGATACTTAATAGTATAGTGCTATTTATAACAAAAATATAATACGCTGAGAACTTGTATTAAAATTAAAAAAAAAAAAAATAATAACAGCGGTTTTATTTCCAAACACATGTTCAACTAAAAAATATATTGAAAATTGAAACTCACTAAAATTATTAAGTATTTATTTAAAAAGAATATGTTTTACTAGATTTATTTTGTAGAAATGAAGGTAAATTAATTTAAAAATGTCTATATTTCTAAATCACTTTCACAGTTACTAATTTCATGTTCTAAAATGATATCACTATCATCATCAGTATCATCCAAATTTATTCCAAGTTTATTCCATCCAGTTTACTTCTAACGATTTATCAACATTATTTTAAAATATCTTAGTATGGATCAAAACTAATATATTTATATACTTCAAAATTTCAAAACACATTTATAAAGAGTGTAGAAAGATTATTCTGCAAACAAAATTCTTAAATATCAACAGCTGTTAAAGATAGAGAGTATTAAAGTTAAATTCCTACTTGTTAAAGTTGAAATTGGAACCTTTGTTTCATCCCTAATTCCAAAACTAATAAATTTATAAACTTCAAAATTTTACAACACATTTATAAAGAGTGTAGAATCATTATTTCACAAACAAAATTCTTAAATTCCAACAGCTATTAAAGATAAAGAGTATCAAAGTTAAATTCTTACTTGTTAAAGTTGAAATTGGAACCTTTGTTTCGTTCCTAATTCCAAAACTAATAAATTTATAAACTTCAAAATTTCAGAACACATTTATTAAGAGTGTAGAAAGATTATTCTGCAAACAAAATTCTTAAATATCAACAGCTCCTAAAGATAGAGAGTATCAAAATTTAATTCCTACTTATTAAAGTTGAAATTGGAACCTTTGTTTCATACCTAATTCCAAAACTAATAGATTTATAAACTTCAAAATTTGAGAACACATTAATAAAGAGTGTAGAAAGATTATTCTGCAAACAAAATTCTTAAATATCAACAGCTGTTAAAGATAGAGAGTATCAAAGTTAAATTCCTACTTGTTAAAGTTGAAATTGGATCCTTTGTTTCATCCCTAATTCCAAAACTAATAAATTTATAAACTTCAAAATTTTAAAACACATTTATAAAGAGTGTAGAATAATTATTCTACAAACAAAATTCTTCAACTCCAACAGCTATTAAAGATAAAGAGTATCAAAGTTAAATTCTTACTTGTTAAAGTTGAAATTGGAACCTTTGTTTCGTCCCTAATTCCAAAACTAATAGATTTATAAACTTCAAAATTTCAGAACACATTTATTAAGAGTGTAGAAAGATTATTCTGCAAACAAAATTCTTAAATATCAACAGCTCCTAAAGATAGAGAGTATCAAAATTTAATTCCTACTTATTAAAGTTGAAATTGGAACCTTTGTTTCATACCTAATTCCAAAACTAATAGATTTATAAACTTCAAAATTTGAGAACACATTAATAAAGAGTGTTAAAAGATTATTCTGCAAACAAAATTCTTAAATATCAACAGCTGTTAAAGATAGAGAGTATTAAAGTTAAATTCCTACTTGTTAAAGTTGAAATTGGAACCTTTGTTTCATCCCTAATTCCAAAACTAATAAATTTATAAACTTCAAAATTTTACAACACATTTATAAAGAGTGTAGAATAATTATTCTACAAACAAAATTCTTCAACTCCAACAGCTATTAAAGATAAAGAGTATCAAAGTTAAATTCTTACTTGTTAAAGTTGAAATTGGAACCTTTGTTTCGTCCCTAATTCCAAAACTAATAGATTTATAAACTTCAAAATTTCAGAACACATTTATTAAGAGTGTAGAAAGATTATTCTGCAAACAAAATTCTTAAATATCAACAGCTCCTAAAGATAGAGAGTATCAAAATTTAATTCCTACTTATTAAAGTTGAAATTGGAACCTTTGTTTCATACCTAATTCCAAAACTAATAGATTTATAAACTTCAAAATTTGAGAACACATTAATAAAGAGTGTAGAAAGATTATTCTGCAAACAAAATTCTTAAATATCAACAGCTGTTAAAGATAGAGAGTATCAAAGTTAAATTCCTACTTGTTAAAGTTGAAATTGGATCCTTTGTTTCATCCCTAATTCCAAAACTAATAAATTTATAAACTTCAAAATTTTAAAACACATTTATAAAGAGTGTAGAATAATTATTCTACAAACAAAATTCTTCAACTCCAACAGCTATTAAAGATAAAGAGTATCAAAGTTAAATTCTTACTTGTTAAAGTTGAAATTGGAACCTTTGTTTCGTCCCTAATTCCAAAACTAATAGATTTATAAACTTCAAAATTTCAGAACACATTTATTAAGAGTGTAGAAAGATTATTCTGCAAACAAAATTCTTAAATATCAACAGCTCCTAAAGATAGAGAGTATCAAAATTTAATTCCTACTTATTAAAGTTGAAATTGGAACCTTTGTTTCATACCTAATTCCAAAACTAATAGATTTATAAACTTCAAAATTTGAGAACACATTAATAAAGAGTGTTAAAAGATTATTCTGCAAACAAAATTCTTAAATATCAACAGCTGTTAAAGATAGAGAGTATTAAAGTTAAATTCCTACTTGTTAAAGTTGAAATTGGAACCTTTGTTTCATCCCTAATTCCAAAACTAATAAATTTATAAACTTCAAAATTTTACAACACATTTATAAAGAGTGTAGAATAATTATTCTACAAACAAAATTCTTCAACTCCAACAGCTATTAAAGATAAAGAGTATCAAAGTTAAATTCTTACTTGTTAAAGTTGAAATTGGAACCTTTGTTTCGTCCCTAATTCCAAAACTAATAGATTTATAAACTTCAAAATTTCAGAACACATTTATTAAGAGTGTAGAAAGATTATTCTGCAAACAAAATTCTTAAATATCAACAGCTCCTAAAGATAGAGAGTATCAAAATTTAATTCCTACTTATTAAAGTTGAAATTGGAACCTTTGTTTCATACCTAATTCCAAAACTAATAGATTTATAAACTTCAAAATTTGAGAACACATTAATAAAGAGTGTAGAAAGATTATTCTGCAAACAAAATTCTTAAATATCAACAGCTGTTAAAGATAGAGAGTATTAAAGTTAAATTCCTACTTGTTAAAGTTGAAATTGGAACCTTTGTTTCATCCCTAATTCCAAAACTAATAAATTTATAAACTTCAAAATTTTACAACACATTTATAAAGAGTGTAGAATAATTATTCTACAAACAAAATTCTTCAACTCCAACAGCTATTAAAGATAAAGAGTATCAAAGTTAAATTCTTACTTGTTAAAGTTGAAATTGGAACCTTTGTTTCGTCCCTAATTCCAAAACTAATAGATTTATAAACTTCAAAATTTCAGAACACATTTATTAAGAGTGTAGAAAGATTATTCTGCAAACAAAATTCTTAAATATCAACAGCTCCTAAAGATAGAGAGTATCAAAATTTAATTCCTACTTATTAAAGTTGAAATTGGAACCTTTGTTTCATACCTAATTCCAAAACTAATAGATTTATAAACTTCAAAATTTGAGAACACATTAATAAAGAGTGTAGAAAGATTATTCTGCAAACAAAATTCTTAAATATTAACAGCTATTAAAGATAGAGAGTATCAAAGTTAAATTCCTACTTGTTAAAGTTGAAATTGGAACCTTTGTTTCGTCCCTAATTCCAAAACTAATAGATTTATAAACTTCAAAATTTCAGAACACATTTATTAAGAGTGTAGAAAGATTATTCTGCAAACAAAATTCTTAAATATCAACAGCTCCTAAAGATAGAGAGTATCAAAATTTAATTCCTACTTATTAAAGTTGAAATTGGAACCTTTGTTTCATACCTAATTCCAAAACTAATAGATTTATAAACTTCAAAATTTGAGAACACATTAATAAAGAGTGTAGAAAGATTATTCTGCAAACAAAATTCTTAAATATCAACAGCTATTAAAGATAGAGAGTATCAAAGTTAAATTCCTACTTGTTAAAGTTGAAATTGGAACCTTTGTTTCGTCCCTAATTCCAAAACTAATAGATTTATAAACTTCAAAATTTCAGAACACATTTATTAAGAGTGTAGAAAGATTATTCTGCAAACAAAATTCTTAAATATCAACAGCTCCTAAAGATAGAGAGTATCAAAATTTAATTCCTACTTATTAAAGTTGAAATTGGAACCTTTGTTTCATACCTAATTCCAAAACTAATAGATTTATAAACTTCAAA